TCACCAGGGGGTCCCTCCTGTCTGGGGGGCATTGCCCGGTCACCCCAGTGCCCCGCTGGCATTGTCAATAACCCCAGGCTCTCCTCATCACCAGGGAGTCCCTCCTGTCTGGGGGGCATTGCCCGGTCACCCCAGTGCCCGGCTGGCACTGTCAACAACCCCAGGCTCTCCTGGTCACCAGGGGGTCCCTCCTGTCTGGTGGGCATTGCCCAGGCACCCAGCGGGCTCTGCCAGGCTCAGCCATGCTCTCCTTGCCTGCTGGCTGCACACCAGTCAAGCCTAAGTTTCTTCCTCATGCCCAGCTGGCACCATCGCTCTCTCCAGGCGCCTCTCTGCTTGGGAGCCACGTACGGTTCAACCCAGGCTCGCCAGTACGCACTAGCACGGCCCGCTCTCCTACCCCAAGTCCCTGGAACCCCAACAAAGCCCCGGGGTGTATCTCGGGCGCCTCCTAGAAGCTGCTCCCCGGAAGCACAGCTGCCCTGCTCCTCTCACTCCCCCTCCCTGTCCCTTCCCAGACCCCTCCGGGTGGCGAGCATGCGCAATAGTCCCTGAAGCGGGAAGCGGTTGCGACGAACTTCCTATTACATCTTCCTCTGGCCGCAGAAAAGCCCGCCCCCTTAAGGGCTGTGGCCATACTCCTCCCCTTGACCCATGAGAGTCTCAGGGGCGTGGCCATATCTGTAGCTGAGTCCTATGAGGGGAGAAGAGAGGCGGGACCAGGAGGCAGGATCTTATCACCGAATAAGGGGGGTGGCTCGGGCCTTCCCCGTCAGCCACCACGAGCTTCGCGCTGCTGAGGCTGAAGTGTGGAGGCAACATGTCGGCGACTGCAGCGGCCTCGGGAAAGCGGGGGAGGCCGACGGGCCCGGGTGCGGGGAAGCGGCGGCGGAAGGTAAGGCCGTGCACTTTCCCAGGAGCAGCGGTATTTCTCTCCCCAGCGGGTGGGTTCAGCCCACGCGCCTCCCCCTCCCCTGGGTCCTCTGTGCCCCGCAGGGCCTCTGCTTCGCCACCCTCGGGGCACCCAGCCTGCGGCTGCCCCCGGGCTGAGCCTCTGACCGGCGGCGGGGCCCTTTTCTTGGCAGCCCGACGTTGAGGGGGAGCCGGCCCGGGCCAAGGTGGGTACCAAGAAGAGAGCCAAGCTGAGCGAGGAGATTTCCAGCGACTCGGAGCCGGAGAGGTATGTGGGCCGGGACACGGGATGGGGCCGAGGGGGCTGCTTCACCCCCGGCCGCCGGCCCCCTGGGCGTGACCTTCCATCCCAGGTCTCCTGCCTCCCATGCTGGGAGTGCACCGCCTTCTTCCCCTCTGATTTGTCATTCTAGCTTCCTTTAAAGCCTATCTGTGCTCTAAACCTCCCGCACCCCCACTTCAGAAGTAGCAATAGCTCGAGTGTATATGTAGCGCTTTAGGGTGTGCAAAGCGCTTTCCAAATGATATCTGTCCCGTTGGATCCTCACAGCAACCCTAGGAGTTAGGTACTATTAGTGTTCTCGCTTTACAGATGAGGACAGGGGCAGGCAGACAGAGGTTAAGTGATTTGCCCAGGATCACACAATATCTGAGGCTGGAGTTGAACTCAGATCTTCCTGACTCTGGTGCAGTGCTCTGACTCTAAGGTTTGCAAATTACTGTGTGTGTGTGTGTGTGTGTGTGTGTGTGTATGTGTGTCTACGTGTGTGTACGTGTACAATTTCTTTGTACATGTTTACCCCTCTGTGTATACATATATGTGTATGTGTGTATAAATACGCATTTTCGTTGTGCATGTTATTTACTCCCCATCACATTTAAGCTCCTTGAGGTCACAAACTATTTAGTTTTTTGTTTTTTTTTTGTCTTTGTATCCCCAACACCTAGCACCTGCTGGCCTCTAGATTCTCTGGCCCATCCCAGGGGACACACGTGTTAGGCACTTAATAAATGTTTAGTAAGTTGAACACTCATTTGAATGAACCAATAGTTACCTACTTGCTAAATCTAATGGCTTTTTCTCAATCTCTTTTGTGACCTCTCTGTACCTTTTGCCTCTACTGATGGCCTTCTTTTGAATAGTCTCTAGGTTTTTGTGACACTGATCCCTCCTAATTCTCGTCCTACCTTTCTCACTGCTCTTTTTAAGTCTTCTTTGCTGGGTCTTCTTCCACCCTACAGATGGTTCCCCAAGTGACCTGGGCCCTCTTCACTTCTCTCTATGTATTATCACACTTGGTCATCTCTTTAGCATCTGTGAGTTCAGTTATCATCTCTATGTGGAAGATTCTCAGATTTTTTTTATCTCGCTCTGACCCTCTCTCCTGACCTCCAGTCTTTTTATAGACACCTCAAACTTAGCATGTCCAAAGAACCTCATTATCTTTCCCCAAAACCCTCCCCTCTTTAAACTTTCCTATTAGTTTTGAGAACACCTCCATCTTCCATCTTCCCAGCCACCTGGCTTACAGTGTTGGTGGCTTCCTCGACCCCTCATTCTTACCCCACATATCCAATCTCATGAGAAGTCTTCTCATTTCTACCTTCACAACATCTCTTGTATATGTCCCCTTCTTTCCCCTTACATAGTCTCTAGTCTAGTGTAGGCTCTCATCACCTTATGCCTGGATTATTGCAATAGCCTTCTGTTTGGTCTCTGCTGCAAGTCTCTTCCTATACCGGTCTGTCTTCACTTAGCTGTCAAAATGGTCTTCTTAAAGTCTGACCCAGTCATTCATTCCTAGTCTACCCCCACCACCCAATCAAGAAACTCCAGAGGCTCCCTATTTCCTCCAAGATTAAATATAAAATAAATATAAAATCCTGAGTTTGGCTTTTAAAGCACTTTACAGCCTGACCCCTTCCTACTTTTAACTTTACGTACCTCTCCATGTTCTCTGATCCAGCAGCACTGGCCTTTTTGTTATTCCTCAAACATGACATTCCATCTGCCAAGCCTGGAATGTTCCACGTCCTCACCTTCACTTCTTGGCTTTTTTCAATAGTCAGCTCAAATCTCCCCTTCTTCAGGAGGCCTTTCCCTGTCCCTTCTGCTGCTTAGTGCCTTTCCTCTGAAATTGTTTTCCATTTACCCTCTATGTAGCTTGTATGTACAGTTTTTTGCATGTCCTATTTTTGTTTTTGTTACAAGAATTGAGGGCAGGGACTGTAGGTTTTGCCCTTCTTTGTATCCTAGCACTTAGCATAGTCCTCAGCACATACTAAACACTTAATAAATGTTTGTTGACTGGCATGTTTGTTAAAAGAATGAATCAAGTTCAATCCTTCCTTGTACAAGGAGGAAAATGAGTTCCGCAGAAGTGGACGTGACTTGCCCGAGATCAATCCACCAAGCGTGTATGTGTATTAAGTTTCTGTTCTGGGTTCCCGTAGTTGAGATACAGAGACAAAAGTGAAACAGTCTCTCCCCTCAAGTAACTTACGGTTTACAGGGAGGAGGGGATACAACTTTTACATAGGTAAGTAAATAAAAGGTAAATACTTAAATACTTGAAAGATTGAAAGATCTGTCCTCGTATGCTGTAGTAACAGTAGTGCACTGCAAATCAGTTGAGCATTTATTAAGCACTTGCCTGTACCAGGCATTGTGTTAAGTGCTGGAGATACAAAGCAAAGTACCTGCTATCCCTGCCGTTGAGAATCTTACATTCTAACGGGGAGACGAGTATGTAACTAGGTGCTTATTGCCTGCCCAACTGGGGGCCCACCAAAAGATTTCCTCTATGTACAAAGAATGTTTTCCTCTACATTTTTCTCAAGCCACTCGAAATCCTTTGGAGAGCAGGAAGTGGGCCTTGGGCTGCACGTGGTGCAGGCTTGGACTAGATGGAGGGTAGCTTTAGAGAGGAAGGTGGCCCATTCCTGCCTGCCGATCTTGTTCGGCTTTTGTGCATGGCTTCCCATCATGTTGCAGGCTGTCCTAGATGGACAGCCCAGTGTGGGGACTAGCTCATGCAACCCATGACACAAAAGTATATACCGAGTAATACCCAGGGACAGGAGGAGTCTTAACCAGTCAAGGAGTCAGGAGGAAGTAGTGTAGTTGTGCAGGAAATAGTCCCTGATCTGAGCCTTTGTACTCGAAAGGATTACGGACTGCACAGTACTTTAACTTTAGGTTCGGATCTCAAGATATAGTGACATGTACTCAGTATAAACTTAACAATCACATTTATTTTACAATTATTAATAATGATTAAGGCAACACAAGCATATAAAGATAAGAATAACATTCAATGCAATAAGTAATAATCAAAATCAAGAAAAGGAGGAATAAGAAAAGAAAGGATACACACTCACTGACCAGGTGAGCTCAAATACCTATAAGACCAGGAAACTGGAGACGATCGAGAAGTCTGATCAGTAGACCAAAAGAGTGGTGTCCTGCTCTTAAACAAGGGCCACGCACGCAGTCCGCCCTTCAGTGTTCCTATCTCTGAAATCAAAGTACTCCAAAAAATCCCCTTTCAGATGCCCCTTTTATATCTATGTAAACCAGGTGAAAACAATCTCAATATTTTGTTTTGTGTACATATCCTTGGTGAGCTCAGGCCCTGGATATGCACACATTCTATCAAAGGTGGGAGCTTGATCAGACCCCCAAATACCTGTTTGTTGTGTAAGTCTCCAAGGAGTGATCAGGTCCTTGGACAATTACACACTTCTCTCAAGAAGAATATTCCTTGAGATCAGAATTGCTTTCCCAGGTCACATAGTTTGTTGGTTACTTAATGTTTCATCTCCATGGTACACTCGGCCATGCATGTTAGCTCCAATTACATTCTTTATGTCAGGTCATGAGGCGGTTTCACGAGGGGCTGGGGAAGATCTTCCTCAGTTTCCCTCAGAGCCTTTAAAGACAGCTGGGGATTCCAAAAGGCAGAGAGAAGGAGGGAAGGCGACCTCAGTGAAGGCACAGAGGGAAGCAGCGGGCACCCTCTGTGTGCATGAGCAGATCGGCCAGTGTGATGGGAGCTGGGGCACCTGAGATGGGAAGTGATGAGAAGTCTGGCAGAGGAGGGCGGGGCCAGATTGTGAAGGGCATTGTGAAGGCAAAAGGGTCTTGAGCAGACCCAGAGGCAACGGGATATAATGGATTGAGCTCTGGCCTTGGAGTCAGGAAGGCCAGAACTGACTTCTGTCTTAGAAATATTCGCTGGCCCTGTGATTCTGGACTGTAGAGTTAATTTCCGTAGTCCTCAGTTTTCTCATCTGTAAAATGGAGGGTTGGACTTGATTGGCCCCAAGATCCCGTCCAGCGCTCAGTCTGAGTCTGTGGTCCATTTGGGAGGAGGCCAAGCAGAACAAGTATGATCCCTCTTCCGCCTGACAGCCCTGCAGGTAGTGGAAGGCAACTCTCACATCTCCCTTGAGTCTTTTCCAGGTTAAACACCTTCAGTTCTTTCATTTGATCCTTAGTAGGAAATAGATTTGAGCCTTTTCACCATCTGGGTCACCCTCTTCTGGATGCTCTTCAGCTTATCAGTGTCCTTACAGGTACCCAGAACAACACAGGGAGGAGGAAAGGAAATAAGCACTTATTAAGTACCTGCTGTGTGCCAAGCACTGTGCTAAGTACTTTACAAATATCTCATTTAACCGTCTCGGCCACACTGAGAGGGAGATGCTGGTATTACCCCATTTTACATTTGAGGAAATTGAGGCAGACGCGGGACATGTGACTTGCCCAGAGTCACACAGCTGGTGCCTGAAGCCAAATTTGAACTCACGTGTTCCTGACTCCAGGTCCAGAGCTCTGTCCACTGTACCACCCAGCTCCCTTGTTGAACTCCAGAGTATGGTCTGACCAGGGCACAACACAGAGAGATACCACCTCCTCATTCCTAGAAGCCGTATCCCTCTTAATGCAGCAACATTAGCATTTTTGGCTGCCACATCCCATTGCTGACTCATTTTGAGTTTGTAGTCAGTCAGTTAATTAACACGCATTTATTAAGTGCCTACTATGTGTGCTAGGTGCCAGAAATGCAAAAACCAACATGAAAAATGTCTACTGTCTGGAAGGAGGATCCTCTCTGCTTATTGGTCAGATCGCTCAAGTTGATTAAATAAACAGCTGGGAGGAGCCCCAGTTTTCTGAGGGCATCTCAAAGTGGGGTCAGAAGTATAAAATAAGACAGCAGTGGGAAAAGAGCAAGCGAATGGCCTAAGCAGGAGCAGGATATC